TGCCCCCCCAGGTGTGGCTCTCAGCTCCCAACACCTGGCGTAGGGCCAAATTAGCCACCAGGGTGCAGCTCCATCCTGCCTACCCCAGGAGTGATTCCTGTGGCCCGTCCCACCCCGCCCGGGGTCAGAGTAGGAACCCTGTGCCCCCAGGCAGTGGCTCCAGCCACCCTCCCCTGGCCCAAGTGCGGCCACTGCTACCCCGTTGCCACCTGCTCTGCATTAATCTGGTTAACAGGGATTTGAACTGAAAAATGGGTGTAAATCAGTAAAAACTGAATGATTAAAAAAAACAAAACCATTATTAATGAACTAAATCTGAAACACTGGAGAAAAAAGTGCCTTTTAAACTATGAGTTATTTTTGCCTGTAAAGAAAATATAACTTTCTTCTATTGGAACACCACAACCAAGGTATTTATCCAAGGACTTCTATGCATTTTACAAATAATTAAACTCTATATCACTCCTAGGACTTACCTATTATTTTAACATTCATATAAAAGACAAGTAGATTTAAGAACAATGACATTTAATAACTGGCTGTGTGACCCAAGACAAATGACAGACAAAAAAAATCAGTACACAGAAGGCTTAACTTTCAGTGGTTTTTTTCCCCCCCAACCACTAGATTACACCCCCTTTCTACATTGCTTTAATTATTTTATAGTTGTCTGAAGAAAAAAGATATTTACTTGGATATAGAGGAAATTTATATTTTTCAAATGCATCTGGGTACTGAGCACCTGTATTTATTTAAATTCACTTTTGAAAAAATATCAGAGAGAAGCAAAAATAAAACCATTTTAAAACACTCGGTTAACACCTGAGATGATTGCTATGAGAAGGATTATTCAAAGGAAACGTAACTGTTTTAGGATTTAACTAGTACAAGTTTGTGAGACTCAAAGAAAGACACCCAAGGATTCCATGACCTTTTGTCTGTTTTGGTGTTTCTTCAGTATGTAGAAAATGGGTGAAGAACTATGTTTAGGAATATACATGATTATACTTCCTCTAAATTCCTAGAGTAAAGAGATGACTAGATCATTGGCCTGGTCAGCATGAAGATGCAATAGTTTGAGCTTTCTAGCTACAAAGGTTAGACCCAAAATATCAAAAGATCATTGATCACGTTTATTTTTTCCTGCCAATACCTAAGTGAGAATAAAAGATATAATTAAATAAGTGACCATGTGAAAAACAGGAAAAAACCTCAAAGGTATAGTAAACTTTTAGTTCTGTTGGCTGAGCTTCAATAACCAATTTCTAATACGTAAATAATGCATTTGAACACAAACCAGTGGCATACATTAGCACTGAAGTGTCATTAAACTCTTAATTATACCAACTCATACACGAATTGCACATAAAGCATAGATAGAGCACAGCCTGAATCTTAAAAAGAAAAAAAAATCAGTTTGTCAGCCTTAGGTAATAAACACTGAAATGTGGCATTGCAGTAAAAACAAAAGAGTCAATAAAATAAAGCCTTAATATTAAGTATTTACATGCACAGGAACAGACTAAGCTATAAAAAGATTTTCAGAAGACTTTCCTTCTCAGGAATGCTTAGCATAAGCCTGCCAATCATCCTGGCTGTTTTTTTAAGGTTTATTGCTACAAGCCAGAATACTTGTCAAATCTGACTGTTTAAAAGTCTTTGAATTATCCCCTTCTGCAAGCTAATCTACCAATTACAGATGTCTGTAGATCCAGTGATTGGAACAGAAATGCACACACTGAAGACATCAAGTGGATCAGCTATGCTTAGAGAATAAGAAACCCCTTTCTGTTATCAAATCTAAATTCACTTAGAGCTGTTTTATCAACTTCTTGTTTGCTAGACTATTCCTAGAAGCCACAGCATGATCTTTAACGACACGTGCATTTTTCTTACCCATATTAGTATGCCCCTGGCTGTAGCATGGGGATGGACAAGAAGAGCTGAAAAGGCTTGCAGTCCTTATGTTTTTTGTTGCTCAAAAATAAAATTAAAAACAACTCCAAACCCTACAAAGCTGTAATTGTGATCTGTCAACATACATGGAAGAAATTCACTGCCCTAGGCCAGTGGTCACCAACCAGTGGATCTCGATCCACCAGTAATTCTCAGAGTCTCTTGTGGTAGATCTCGGAATCTCTTGGAGTCGATCTGAGGCTGGGGCAGGGGCCTGAGTGCCCGCGTGCATACATACGCATGCCCCAGCCCAGCAGGTCAGTCCGCGGGGGAGGGAAGGGCTGGGGGCTAGATTGAGGCCCCACAGTGAGGGACAGTGCCGCAGAGGCAGGAGCAGGGGTAAGTTGAGTGGGGCCCTAGCCAGGTGGGACTTATCTGCAGGGGAGGTGTGCCCCCAGATAATTTTTTCTTCCTCTGCCTCTATCTGCTCCCCCTTCCCTCCCCACAGATTTACTTGCTGTGTGGGAGGTGGGGTGGCAGTGCACGGTAGATCTTGGGTTGCTTTTAAATGCCAAAGGTGATCTCCTACTTAAAAAGGTTGGAGACTACTGCTCTAGGCATTCAAATGAAAGATGGCGCTCCAAAATTTGGGAAAGACCCAGTTCAAAAGACTGGGGGAGGGGGGTACCTGGATGTGTGCGCACACTCATGATTTATCTTTATTATTGTTTTTGCAGCCTGAAGAGTTCAATATCCATTAGAAAATAACAGTCAAAATATCAGCAGTAAACTTTTCAGATTTAAGGAAGTCTTATATCTCAATATTGTATCAGCAGTGTTTTTCTTCTTTTTTTTTTTTTAACAATCGGAAATTTCTCATTCTTATGATTATATAGACTGAAGTTTAAAATATATATCATAATATACTCTCCTTAATCATTCACATCAACAAATTACGAAATTTGAAAACATATGGATGAAGTGGTAAGCTAAGTAGACAGTAAAACATGCATTGACTTTAGCAGGGTCAGGATTTCACCCATACAATCTCAGTACTTGGGCGAGGTGGTGAGGAGTTGTGTTACATTAAACTTTCCCATAAAGTGCAAATTTCTGCTATAATCTGTTATAACGAATAAAACAAACAAACTAAGAAACCTGCCACAGATTAATGGACCCTGTCAGTGGTTAACAGAAACTATCATGATTTTCTTTGTTGTTGTTGATCTGATTTTGGTCGACAGATTTGAATTCTAGCTTCTTATAACTTCTTTAAATGCATCTCCAAATAAGATCCCTTAATGAAAAACATGATGTTCTGCTGGGATCCTTATTTGGTGAATCAGAGAGTCATGCAGTGGAAAATAAAAGATACATGAGCAAATGTACAGCATACAAATATGGACTGCAAAAATTTTTGAAAAATATTTGTTCACTGAAGGAATGACAACAGAGCACTAAAAATAAACACCCCAAGTCCTCCTCCCCTTCTTTATTAGTCTGCTCTGTGAGTAACACAGCTTTTCATTATTGAGTTAGAAGTGATTATGGCTAAGACATTTTTAAATACATGCTATAATGTTTTAAAAACAGTTTGCCTTACAATCCTTCAGGATTATTCTCAAGACAAAGGTGATTTTTTTGGGTAAGTTGGGAGAGCGACAGATCCAGAAGACCTGCCACCTGCAAAGATGGAGATCACTCCACCTGCAAAGATGGAGATCACTCCACCTGTATTTTCAGTGGGCCACTTTACCATCTAGGAATAGAGGTTACAACATGTTATAAAAACTATGTCTACACTGAAATCAAATGTGCTAACAGCAAAAGTAGGCATCCCTGAGCTAGCTTTAAAGCAGCTAGCCAAGGGATCAACAGCAATGAAGCTGGAGTAGCATGAGCTCAAGGCAAAATATACAAGCCTACTCAGGACTGTGGGTTCTTAGACAGCTAAATCCATGTTTCTGCAGCTTCTCTGCTACTGATACCTGGGCTGAGTTAGTTAAAAAGCTAAGCTCAGGTTTGCCTGTCCAGGCTGTAATCCTGCCTATGACTGCAAAATAAACACAGACTCTGACTGAACTTCCGGGATGGAATTTGAGGCTATAGTTTTACTGATTTTTAAAAAACTTATAACACACAAAGGTGCAATTTACTTGCAAATGAATGCTCCTCTGTACCTGAAATATTGTGCTTCTAAATAAAGTCAAAATTCTACAAAACAGACCAACTGGGTTTTTATTTCTCAACTCCAAATTATCTTTGGATACTCCAGGGCCATTACCCACCAAAGCTCTCTGTTCTTTCTTCTGAACACCCTTATCATCTTTAAATTTATGTGCAAGCATTACATCACTAGATTCACGGAGGAGGAAAAATAGGTGGCTGGACAAAGTGCTAGGTGTGATGGTAGAAGACTTGGGTACAGTTCTCAGTTTAACTACAAACTTCCTGGGTGATCTCAGGCAAGACGCTTATCTTTCTGTTTACCTTAATTCCTCACTTATGAAAAGGGAAACTTCCCTACCTGATAAATGTACCATAAGAATAAAATTAATTCATACCCAGATACTACAAAGAAGAGGGGGATATATATGTAGGTAAATAACACATTCTTTTTCACTTCTGAACACTTGAGAATGCCCAGGTAACAGGAAGCTTATAAATCTAGTATTGAATGTACTGGAACTAGTAGGAAAGGGTTCCAGAGTTGATGGGTAACCTCTTACAAAATTATAAAAGAATTTGGTAAGGTTGGAAAGAGAAATAAGGTCTTACTACTTAGTTTATTTACTAGACTGTGCAACATGACAAAGCTTACAGGTCCCTTCTACATATTTTAAAACAACTGAAAAGGAAAAATAAACACAAATGGACACAGAAATGTCTTAAAACACATTACTATAAGATTTTTCTTTCATGCTTAAGTTTTGAAGAATCTTATTGCATTCTTGAACTTTCATATTTAAATTAGTAAACAATCTTTCACTTGAAAAAAGGGAAAAAGAAAAGATAAAAACATAGATTGATGAATCTTTAATTAAGGATCAAGTAATGTGATTGGTCAGTTCAGATTTAAGTACTGTACAAGAATTTTATTCTACCTGGGATGTCAAGCTGTACTGGCTGCATCAGTTCTGGTTGGTGAAGAGGATTCCCAAAGTAAACAAACCATTCCTTTACTACAGAACAGACTCTCTGGGTATCTGAAAAAAAAAAGAACGGGATCAATAAACCTGATACAAGTACTGATGTTCATGCAGTGATTCTCAACCAGGATTTTGCAGCACCTGGGGATGTCTTGAGGTCCTTTCAAGGGGAGGCACACAATGTCAGCACTATTAGGTGTGCAAACACAATCCACAAGATAAACCCATAGATGTCAAATAGAAATCCAGAGTATTAAAACAATTCTGACCTGTTGTGGTCTGAGTTTTTTGCAACAGGAAAATTGCTCTATTATTTTTCCTTAGTTAAAAATGTGTGAAAGCTAAGAGCTGGCATTTTCCAAAGAGCGCCTTGGGTCTAAAAAGGCTGAGAACTGCTGGTTTAATGGCTGGAAAGAGGGAAAGCAGAGCTCTGTTAAAGCATTACAAAGGAGCACAGTATAGCTGTTTGCTCCGATCTGCAAAAAATCCCAAAAAACAAAAAAAAACCCCTAACAAACAAACAAACTGAAAAACAATTCAGGGCATCAACTGACAAATCCTCAGTACAAATGGACAGAGGTTCAGTTGCCAATTATAACATTAATTCAGGTTAGAACTGCAGCCAAAAAATTATGATCAAGGCTCTAGGCTATTCTTCCAAAAGCCAGGGGTGAAGGTGCTATAGTGGCTTCTGAGCATCTGTGAGACATTAAATTTATCTCATAATTAATGTGTTAATCATGGGTAACATGTCACACATTCAACCAATTTATCCAACCATAAAATGGTACAGCAAGTGTGGAACATCTTTGTGTCTGGTTTGCTTGATGCTTTTCATTTGAATGTGTGGTGGATGAACGTGTGGTGGGGAGCCAATGGAAGTATATTTACTGAAATCCTTTGAAAGTCCCTATTTAAAGGTAACCTGTCAATGGGAAGGGAAAGAAAATAGCCATTTGTCTTTCTGAAATGTGCTGCATAAGGAAGGTCTAAAAGAATCTCCCCATCACCCACATGACAAAAGTTGTTAGTCCTTGCTTGTTTTTTTTATTTCAGAAATATCAGGTGTGTTAATGCTTTCCTGGTATAGCCAGGTGTTGTTTTGTAGCCAGCCTGTTTTGTTTAGTACTCATTTCAATACATTTAACTAGGTATACTAGTAATTACCCTTGTGGGTTTGCCCTCTTTGATAAGGAAACACTTATTATTATCATTTTCCCTTAAATAGTTCTACTACATGATGTTTAAATGTTATATTTATTTTTTCATCTTCTGATGACTTGAAGTTTTGAAATGGTATAAACAAGAGTTAACATTTTGGACTATACATCCTTTCTTATGTGAAGTATTCAGCTCACAAGCTTCATGTTTTAATACTATATTTCCTTGTCAACTGGAAATCATCTTAAAGTCACTGATTTGACTGGCATCAGTTATTCCAATTAGTATTATTTCCATTATAGATGGTGCTATGTCTTTTGGCCCAGGTTTTGCTTATATTGCAAATATACAGTTCAGCCCTGAATATTCACTTCTAGGCTCTACTATGCAACGTTAAGAAAAAAGGGCTGGTGTTCTGGCAGCTGCTAGAAGATATAAAGTTAATAAAAAACCCACACACACCCTGAATGGTTTCATAGATTTCATAGACATCAGGGCTGGAAGGGACCTCAGAAGATCATCGAGTCCAGCCCCAAGCTGGTGTAGCAGTTGAATTGTTCAGTTAGACAATTTCATATCTTGCTTTGTAATAATAATGCGTTTTAGCATGGTAATTTTCTTTCATTAATTAAAATGTCCAATTTAATTTCTATTACAGGAATTTGATCTTATGAATCTTAAGATATGAAAAACTGAAATATAACATATAGCACGGTATACACTTTCTTTGATTACATCACTTCTCACACTATACTTTTTTGGCTATGAGATTTTGAGCACACACAAGAGTACAAACATTAGGTGGGCTGATGATACTATTCGAGAGGGAAATTAGTGTAACATGAGATATAATGAAGGATTAAAGACAAATTTGGGGGGAAACAGCATTTTAATTAGGGACTTCCATACCAGATTTGCTCATTTTCTCTGGAATTCAATCTCCAATAGCAGCCAGAAACAGGTACACATTAGAGAAAGATAGAAGAAGCCCCATAATAAACTATTATATAACAACCTTACAAAGCTATTAATGCCGAAGTAGATGGTCTTAAACATGAAAAAAATTATATTCTGACATGTACACACACCTTTTTTTGGTTCAGTAGGACTTAACTTGGGAATGTTTATTTACAGCCATTTCTCCTAATACTTGTAAGCATGAACTGAAAAGAACACATCACAATAAAACTACAGATTACAGCACTTTCTTAAAAGAGCAACTTTTAAGTTCCAAAATTATCTTCCTTAAAACTATCTTCCAGATCATAGATCTGTGCTTCTGTATTTCAGTGATACATTTTAAGTGCTACAGTTATGACATGCACAAACATGTCTGATCATGCCCTAACTTTTGAAACTTCAAAGATCAATTGAATAATATTTTCTAAATATATAATTAAATTCAGTGCTGAACTTTGATGACTAAAAATATCAAGTAAATAACATGAGAACCCTGTATTTCACAAAGAGTACATTGACAGTTTTAACATTTTCAGTCCCCTATCTACAAAAACCTTTGGAAGCATCAAGCAGAAGACATACAGAAAAATGCAACTTTTACCTAATAGAAGTCTTAAGACAATGGATTCTGAATTGGGTGCGATTTAGAATAGCTTTGTACTAATGATGAATTTTTCAGATACTTGGAAATCTCGTTGTATGTATATTGCGTTATCCAGCATATCCCAGAGTTGGGACCCAATTTACCATTTTTTCTCACATATAACTCTGACCTTTTTCTTTAAAACCAGATGGTTGAAATTAAGATGCACATTATATGTGAGAAATAGGAATCCCTAGAAGTCCCGAAATCTGGTTGTGGGAAACAATGCTAATGGCCATGGCTATGGGAGCCATGACTATTAACCTTGCCAGTTTGGGGGCAGCAGGCTCATGAGCAGGCCCAAGGAAAGATTTTTTCTTCATGTTTCTTTTTACAAAAACAGGGTGCAGATTCTATTCAGGGGCAGGTTAGATGCAAAAAAAATATGGTATTGGGGGGAATTCTCAATCACTACTCAATGAAAGAGTAGTGAAAGAATGAAAGAAATACAGCCATTAAGACTGCCTTCCTTATATTATTTATATTTTGTTAAATATTCAAAATCACCTAAAATTTCTTTTTAAATTTAAAATGTCAGAAATCAATATACTTTTATAATGTTGCCATTTATTTCAGTAGAACCTGGATCATTCATATCTGGGTGGCTTATAACCCACTTAATTCACAGCCAGCAGCTGAATTAAAGATGAGCCACTCACCTATTTCCTACAACTTTTACTTCAAAGGGCTCTGTTTCTCTGATCAACTGGAGTACAGCAGCAGTCCTGCATGAAGTGAGCTTTGAAATAAAATCCATAGATAACAGCTGGAATGCCCCAGAAATCTCATGCAGCTATTTGCTGTGGCTCTGTACACCTTGACAGTACCAAGGCCGGCTGCAGGAGTATCAACCAGCACTGCAGGAGTGGCTGCACTCCCAACTCCTTCCTGCCACCTCCTTCCCATCAGGGTGGGTAGACCACACCATGGGAGCAACAGCCAGAGACTTTTTTAAGTCCCCAAAGCAGGTAAGAATTCCCACCCCTTCCCCTCCCTGCTCAGAGACATGTCCTCCACCGCACCCCTCCCTTCTTCTTCTCCATTTACCCCACCTGCTGCTGTTTCCACTGCCCTGGAGGCAAGGGAAGCTCCAATCTGGGCAGCATGGGAGCCAGGCTTGGCCTAGAACAGAGGCAGGTGGTGGGTTCTCCCTTCCTGTGCCTGCTCCCAGGCTAGCCAGGAACATCGAACAGGACCAGGCAGGGAGGGGAAACTTGTCTGCCCACCCGGCTGGAATGGAACAGGAGCTCCCCTCGCCCTCAAGGTAGCGGGGTCAGCAGCAAGCTGGGGAGGAAGGGACCATGCCTTTGAGCAGAGAAGGTAAAAGTGGAGGCATTCTTACCTGCTGTGGGGACTTAAAGTCCCTGGCTGCTGCTCCTGCCATGTGGTCAGAAAGAGGGATGTGGCCATGTTACTGCACCCCCTTTGGATCTGCCCCTACACCTTCCCCCAGATCTTCTCAAACCCTCATCTTCACAAGCAGGTAAGAAACTCAACCCTGTGAGGTAGCAGGGTTCTACTGTATAGTTTTACTAGAAGTATTATAATTAATCATAACTTTAATCTCTGAAAGTTAAGCCCTTGCTAAAGCAGAACAATGTTCCCATATTTTCTCAACCTATTAAAACATTCTAAACAAATGTTTTTGCTTAGCCTTGTGATCATTAATAACTTTCAGATGTATGACTTTAAGAAGAAAAAAATAAAAGCATAGAATTAGTTTTTAAATTTCCTTATAAAGGGTACTAAAACTCAACTGCATGTTGAAACATTACATTGTTTTTGTAATTTCTGATTGATTCCTTACTAATTACATGTAGATTGCCCACAGCCTTTACCCTTAATGTCATGCAGGTGTGCGCCACTGAAACTTGGAATTACAGATTTTACGTTTTAAAAAATACAGTTTAAAATGTCCTTGAATAATTAAAGTGTGTGGTCCAATTGGATACCTTACTCCCAAGACTGCTCGTCTCAGACACTATGCAGCATATCCGGGGTCAGCCCTTACCTTTCCTAGGTTCAAGCAGGACAGAATAAATATGTTGACGAGCAGGGCGGTAAATAAGTGCCTGCCCAGGTAGCTCTGTATCCAGTTCATCCTCCAACGTGTTGCTGCATTCAACCTCTCCATTGCTCAGGATATTAAAGACCATATAATTTTCACCTGTGATGTGCTGTTCTTTAGCTAACTGTTAATAAGGAGGGAAAAAAATCTACTTAAAAATTAAGTATGTACAAAATTCCACAAAATTAACTCAGTTTTAAAATAAATAATATTTTGTTTATCAATCTTGCTATCAATCCCAGGAAGGGAACATATTTTTCAAAATATCAGATTCCTAGATCTTTCTCTGAGAACAAGGAAAATAATATAGCATCATTAGCATGCCATTATTTTTTATGGAGAGGAAGAGTCCCCAGGAAACATGTCAATCTCTTCCTACCATTTTTTCCTCCTATTCTCAAAGATACATAGTGGCAACTTCTTTTCTAAGAGCAACGTGTAAAAGAGAAAAACAGTGCTAATCCTTCAGTTATCCAAGGTCTTGTATGTCTTCTCCTCAGGGTAGCTAACACGTGTGAACTACCTACAAAGTACAAGCACAATGACGGTATATTAGATGAGGTCAGCACTCCTCCTCTGCCTGGCACTGACCTCATCGAGTTTACCTCCCAGGAAAACCAAAGTGTCTTGTTTTCAACATGCTTCTAACTTGACATTACCTGTGTGTACTTGTTATCCTAAAGTGAAGAACACACCTCTCTTTTAGCTTTTGAAGAGCTTCCCTGAAGATGGTCACTGGAATAACAACATTCGACCCCACAACGCCAAGCTCTCTATTTCTGCAACAACCCTGGTCTCCACGAGCCTGGGAGCTCTGGGGCCCATACCAATTGCAGTAGACCAATCTAGTTTGTTTTACAAAAATCGTTTCAGGATTCCATGATTTGCCTCTGCTGTGAACAATCACTAAAGAGTTATGTAAATTAAAAGACCATAGATGCCAAAGGGAAACCTATCCGTAACAATATTTTATATGTAAATAGTATCCTTTGATTCCAAGGGATCCAAACACCACCAAAAATGCAGCTATCTGAAAAGCAGACCCTGGCAACCAATCAATGGCACAGACGACCACATAAAATAATAAAAAATGGTGATGAAAGTGCATGAAAATCTTTAATGATCCATTGGTAAACAGTAGGGATGCTCCGACAGAGACTTTTGGGACCTATACCGGTAGACGATATATTTAAGGAGGCATATTAGCCAATACCAACCTGATTTCCGAAACAGCTGCTTCCAGCCAGTAAATCCGATATGGTGGAAGGGGAGGGGGGGCAGATCAACACCCCCCT